GAAAATTTGCTCACGCTTTCCACTCCAACATGCTGAAACTGAACATTTTATCACCGAAAAAAAAAATAAAAATTCTTTACATCCTACAATAGTTGTTCACATTTTTACACACATTACCTCCTGGGAAAATTAGATGCAATTTTCACACGAGACGTCCTACGACTGATGTTGACATTTTACACACACCAACCGCTGGGAATTTTTTTACATATTTCACACATGACATCCTACTACTGTTGTTTACATTTTTATACACATCTGGGAAAATACTTTACATATTTCACATGTGATGTCACGCATAACTCATAAATCATTTTGACTTTTACCGGGGTTAATAACTACTTCTTAGATATAAAGGGGAGATTCGAGATGGGTCTATAATTTGATAGTTCACAGGGATCAAGGTTAGCTTTCTTAATCAGTGGTCTAATTACTGCTAGTTTGAGAGATTTTGGGATGTATCCAAGGCTAAGAGTGGAGTTTATTATTGACAGAATAGACTTGGTTATTTCTGGCAGAATTTCCTTGAGTAAACCTGTAGGAATCGGATCTAACATACAAGTAGATGATTTTGCGGAAGAAACGATTTTAACTAGTTCATTTTCTTGGAGTAAGGTAAATGATTCCAGCCTCTCTGCAGGGTTTATAGTATTCTCAAGATTGAGGCTGGCATTAAGGGGAAGCAGGTTTGAGGAGTTTAACTGTGTTTCTGAATTTTCTGCCCATTTTTTTTCAATTTTGTCACTGAAGAAGTTCATAAAATCGTTGCTGCTATAGGCTGATGGAATCTGGGGTTCACTAACTGTTTTGTTCTCTGTTAGTTTAGAGATTGTGCTGAAAAGTAATCTAGGATTATTCTTATTGTTTTCTATGAGAGAGGAGAGAGAGGCTGAGCGTGCTGCAGTAAGTGCTCTTCTATAGTCTATAAGGCTCTCCTTCCAGGCGGACTGGAACACTTCTAGCTTAGTCAGGCGCCATTTTCGCTCAAGTTGTCTGGCGGTCTGTTTTAAAGCCTGAGTGTGGTCATTATACCAAGGGGCAGTTTTTTCTGCCTTACTATTTTACTTTTTAATGGAGCCACACTATCTAGAGTAGATCGAAAATGATCCTCTAAGAGCTTGGTCATAGTATCTAACTCAGTAGGATTAGATGGACAGATGACAGAAGCTGATAATTGAAGGTTTCTAATAAAGCTACCAGCTGTGGAGGGAGTTATTGTCCGCTTGACACAATAACATGGTGATGAATGCACATTACCACTGAAGTGAAGTGTGATAATCATTTCCGGAACTTAATGCTTCAGTTCTTACGCTCTTCTCGACACATTCAGCTCGTTTCACTCTGTCAGTGTTATGATGTTACCAGTCAGTGTGGCTGTGGTCAGTCCTCTGAGCCCCAGTTTCCTCTTTGTGGTCCTGTAAGTCCCTCTTTAGTGAACCGCGGTGACGCCGCTCTCACCCTTTCGGATTTCTTCCTTTAAAAAGTCTCCAAAACTCACACATTATCGTTATTAACGTCCAGGACAAGCAACTACAACTTCTTTTAGTCGAAATGTTCGCCTTTTGAGAACCACGGAACTCTGATTTCTACGGGCTGCTGCAATGGCTAAGGGCCCGTTTACTATGGGAGGCAAATCCAGCCAAAAAAGAAATTAAAATGAAAACAATAAAATGTAAATGCAAACTTCTTTTTGCCATTTCTTTTTCCAAACATCTGCGCAAATATCCTGCCAAAATTGAAAATTAAATGAAATACCTACATCTGCAATTTCATTTTTCACAAGAGCGCGAGCCATTTGTGACAAAAAATAAAAATAAATGTAAAACAGCTGTTTGTCATTTCATTTTAGTCGTTATTCTGGTTTTTCATGGCCGAATCTAAAATGAAAAAGCTAATAGAGAAAAGAAAATCCAAGCTTCACTTTGGCTTTTCTCCATGAAGTGCAGAATACGGGTCAAAACTAAAATCAAAATGCAGTGTTTACATTGTTATTTCTTTTTCACAGCAATCGGCTGCAGATCTGACAAAATGAAAATGAAAAGGCAAAACTGATAAATCAACAGCAAAGTGACGGTTTGTGATTCAGTTTTCGGCGCGGACGCGCTTTAAGTGTCAGAATGAAAAGGCAAATGCAAACGAACATCAGCGCCACCTACTGGACATTTACTTTACATTTCTGACTTTTCGTTTTCAAACTGACCAACATGCAAATATATGTTAATTAGCACTAGGCGGGGCTACGTGGTACATTTTGGGACATCCTCAGACCGAGTCAGAACGGCATCATTCCTCAAGATAAATGACTTAGAGTCTCGAGAAAAACCATCGTCATGACTCAGATCTGGTGAAACTGAACGTCAGCACAAACGGCCTCAGAGAAAAGGTATCAGACCAAACGCAGGCCTGGTCGAGCACATACTGGTTCGTATAGCTTAGAAAACTATTATGTAACTCGATATAAATGCCAATAAAACATTTCCAGTTTTTTCTGACGGTGTTTGTTCTGACATGTTTCTAATGGTGTTGGAACTCTAATATATGCTCCAGCTCATACGGTGTGAATGTTACCTTGAAAGTCTGTATGTTCTCCATTAAAGTCTGTGAGGCCTGGACACTGCAGTATCTTTACTTCCTCAGTTTAGGGAGGGAGGACATTTTTTGTTTATCTCTGTTTTCTCCTGGTTATTGGTTTCATTAAGGAGTTGGGTTAAATTTGATGTATTTTCTTTTCTTTTTGTTGGTCAGGGTTAGTTAATTGTTAAAACGTAGTTAGCTTTGTTATGTTTGTTATTTCTCCTAACCTCCTTTCTTGTTGTGCTGTTTTGGTTCAGTTTTCTGGTCTATGTTACAACTTCAGTAAATCTTTATCATTGTGAAGCTGGTTGTTGTGTGCGTGGTCAAGGTAATCGGAAGGGCATGTGTGTGTCTCTCTCTCTCTTTCCTTCTATGTTATAGCCTAACCCTAGACTGGGTCGTAACAATGTTATATAAATCTTAAAAATGACAAAAAGAAGGAGAAAGTAATATATAAATGTGATTTGATAGCATGATGATAAAGTTTACATGAATATAATAATAATAATAATAATAATAATAATCTTTATTTATAAAGCAATTTTCATGCTGATGGCAGCTCAGAGAGCTTTACAGTCGGGTGATAAACAGTTATACAAGAAATTATGAGTATTAATTTAAAATCATTTAAGTCAATAACAGATCAGATTAGAGTCGTAGAGTTTTACTGAAGCTCTGAGTTAAAGAGCTGAGTTTTCAGATGTTTATTAAAAGTGAGCTCTGAGCTCGACTGTCTAATAAAAGCTGAACTGAGCTCCACAGTTTAGAAGCAGAATAACTGAAAGAGTCTCTCCACGTTTTCTGTGTTTTACTGAAGGAGTTCAGATGGTCAGAATCTGCAGATCTGAGATCATAAACAGACGGTCAGGAGCTTTAAGGTCATTTAGAGCTTTAAAAACCAGCAGCAGAGCTTTAAACTCTCTCTAAGAGATCCAGGCGGTCAGTGCAGTGTGTAACGGGGGGATATGAGCTCTCTGTGTTGGTGCTGTGAGGATCCGTGCTGCTGCGTTCTGTACGGGTTCTAGAGGATGGACTGTTTTCTCCAGTAAGAAGATCATTACAGTGATCAACTCTGCTGAACAAACGAAGCTATGAGTTTCTCTGCGTCGCTCTGAGAGAGAAAAGGCTGAACTTTAGTGATTTTCTCACTGATTAAAAGCTGATTTAGTCACTGTTTACAAGCAGATTAAACAGAGCTCAGAGTCTAAGATCTCACCCAGGCTTCTACTGCAGATTTGGTTTATGAAGATAGAGAGCCGAGATTCTCATAAAGCAGCTTTCTCTGAGTTTTAGCACCAACGATCAGTATTTGAGTTTTTTCATGATTAATTGTAGAAAGTTTTGCCACAACCACTGAGAAATATCTGACACACGGCTGGTTAGTCTGTCTACAGAGTCTTGATCTTCAGAAGGAATAGAAAGGCATAACTGTAGCATGTACAAAGAGAAAAGCAAAGGCCCTAAGACTGAACCCTGAGGGACTCCACAAGAAATGCCAAATGTTTTTGATGAATGATTTCCAAGTGAAACCATGAACTGGCTATTACTTAAATATGATTTAAACCATTCTAAAACTGTGCCTGAGAGGCTGACCCCGTGTTCAAGGCGTTGGAGTAAAATCTTGTGGTCAATGGTATCAAAGGCTGCACTGAGATCTAATAAAACCAAGATAGAAGGATTTTGTGCAGCAGCGCTGAGCCTGAGATAATTTATAATGTGAATCAATGCTGTCTCTGTACTATGGTTATTACGAAAATCTGACTGAAACTTCGCATATAACTAGTTTGATATTAGATACGTTTTTAGTTGTTTGAAAACAACTTTTTCTAAGACTTTACTTTTAAGTTTGAAATTGGTCTAAAATTATTTAGTATGGAAGGATCCATGCTACTCTTTTTTAGCAGAGGCTTCACCAGGGCAGTTTTAAAAGCTTCTGAAAAACAATAGTTAAAACATTATTGTGCGCACAATCAAAAACCATCTTAAGGAATGAAGTAGGAACAGAGTTAAGATCACATGTGGATGAACTTGAGGTCTGGACTCTGTGTGATTATTACGGCTTCAGATTCTTATTAAACTCTGTGTGATTATTACGTATAAAATGCCTGTGAAGTCTCGGCTCCCAACCATAACAGTGCATTCCTCACAACTGTCCTTACTAAGCTGTGTAACAGTCATAATGTGTAGGTTTTTTAAGCTGAAAACATCTTTGTAATCATTAAATTACAGAGAGAATAATGAGCAGTGCCTGCCAGCAGCACAGAGCTCGGTCTGCTGCTCAGGTACAGCAACTCATCCGGGTCAGAACTCACACCACACACACACCAGCAGGGGCTCCCAGACACCATTACCTAATCAAAATTTCACCTAAAATCAAAATTTCAGTTTCATCTGTTCCAGCTGCAGTGAATCGTCTTCACACTGAATCAGTTTAAATGTCTTTATTAGAAAAACATTTATTCTGTTCTGCAGTTCAGAAAAATGTTTAAGAAAACACCAGAAGCTGAAACGGTTCTTGTTTTGCACCAAATGAATCTTTCAAATCTGTTAAAATCTCCAAAACACTCAAATCCTGATATCAGGTATAAACATTTCTGTCTTCGTTATAAACCTGATCATCACTCAGAGTAAAGATCAGCTGATAAACTCTGATTAACGTTCACACTGAGGGGCTGTTACTGATCCTCGGTGGTCTGGACTCTGTGATTATTATGGCTTCAGATTCTTATTAAACTCTCTACACTCAGACACTCAGACGGCTCAGTCGGTCACACTCAGAGTACAGATCTGTGGTCAGGAACAGAGTCTGGCTGGACTTTAGTAACGTGGATTAGTGACAATGGCATGTTATTCTCCCAGCAGGGGGCGCCGTCTCCTCCATCATCATCATTACTGTAAACTCCACAGATCTGCTTTTAATCAATTATTAATCATTAAAATTAACAATCAGAACAGAGTTCATATAAATACAGAAGGAGCTTCACAAACGCTCAGTTACACAAAACCAGCTCACCTGTTTATTAACATTAAATATTTTTTGGAAAAGTTCTGAAATGTTCCAGATTGTTCTGGACTGTTGTATAATCTGAAATATTCTGCAGTGGTCTAAAATGTTCTAGATTGTTCTGAAATGGTCTGATATGTTCTCAAATGTTGTTCTAAGCTGTTCTAAACAGTTCTGGGATGTTCCTAAATGTCCTATAAGTTCTGGAATATTCCAGATTGTTCTATAACATTCTGGATTTTTCTGAAATGTTCTGGATTGTTGTGAAATGGTCTGAAATGTTCTGATAAGCTCTAGAATGTCCTGCGCTGGTGTACAGGTGGAGGAGAGTAGGTAGTGGAAGCTCCTTAGATAATGATTAAGTGTTCTCATAATAATAATAATAATAATAATAATAATAATAATAACAATAATAATAATTCCAAGTGATTAATTTTGTTTACATGCTGTTGGTTAAACTGATGATAAAAGTTTGATTGAAGGGTTTTTAGTCATTTAGGGAAGAAACGAGTTTAATCTGCGGTTTAAGCTCCTGCAGCTCATTCAGAGTGAACTGATGATCTGAAGGTTCTCTCTCTGAGACGTTCTACACGCTGAGGTTCTGTGTTTGGTGCTTTACAGCTCCTCGTGGTCCGGGATCTCTCCGTGGTCCGTCTGCACTCGGAGCTCGTTCGCTGTGATCTTCCCATCGGAGTTTTGATCCTGATTGGTGAACATGTCTTTGATGATGATGTCACCGTCCACTCCAGGCCTCAGGCGACCTCTGCCTTCCGACACCTGCAGCTTTATGAACTCTGTAAACTACAGACAGAGGAGGAAATGTGGGTTTGTGTTCAGGTGGGACTTTAGGACCTTCACCAACAACACAGTTAAGAAAAAACGGGACGATACTGGAGGCTGAATCCCAAAAATTCTGGATGGAATGTGTGTGTGTGTGTGTGTGTGTGTGGTTGTGTCTGTGTGTGTGTGTGTGTGTGTGTGTGTGTGGTTGTGTCTGTGTATGTGTGTGTGTGTGTGTGTGTGGTTGTGTCTGTGTGTGTGTGTGTGTGTGTGTGTGTGTGGTTGTGTCTGTGTATGTGTGTGTGTGTGTGTGTGTGGTTGTGTCTGTGAGTGTGTGTGTCTGTGTGTGTGCGTGTGTGGTTGTGTGTGTGTGTGTGTGTGGTTGTGTCTGTGTGTGTGTGTGTCTGTGTGTGTGCGTGTGTGGTTGTGTGTGTGTGTGTGTGTGTGTCTGTGTGTGTGTGTGTGCGTGTGTGGTTGTGTGTGTGTGTGTGTGTGTGTGTGTGTGGTTGTGTCTGTGTGTGTGTGTGTGTGTGTGTGCATGTGTGGTTGTGTGTGTGTGTGGTTGTGGTTGTGTCTGTGTGTGTGTGTGTCTGTGTGTGTGTGTGTGCGTGTGTGGTTGTGTCTGTGTGTGTGTGTGTGGTTGTGTCTGTGTGAGTGTGTGTGTGTGTGTGTCTGTGTGTGTGTGTGCGTGTGTGGTTGTGTGTGTGTGTGTGTGTGTGGTTGTGTCTGTGTGTGTGTGTGTGTGTGGTTGTGTCTGTGTGTGTGTGTGTGTGTGTGTGTGGTTGTGTCTGTGTGTGGTTGTGTCTGTGTGTTTGTGTCTGTGTCTGTGTCTGTGTGTGTGTGTGTGTGTGTGTGGTTGTGTCTGTGTGTGTGTGTGTTTGTGTCTGTGTGTCTGTGTGTGTGTGTGTCTGTGTGTGGTTGTGTCTGTGTGTTTGTGTCTGTGTCTGTGTCTGTGTGTGTGTGTGTGTGTGTGTGTGTGCGCACTCACCTCCTCTAAGGGAACCTCCTGGTTGTGGTTGAGGTCCATGGCGGGGAACAGAGGTTCTGGACTGTCCTCCAGCCACAGGAACAGGTATCCCTCAGGAACGCCCCTCTGCAGCTCCAGCAGCTCCAGCTCAAACAGCAGCACCGCACTGCTGGGCACACCTGAGCCTGCGGGGGGCGTCAGAGAGAGACCGACAGACCAGAAATATCAGCACTGCATTAATTATGAAGAGGAATATGAGCAAGACTAGAAGAGAAGAACACTGAGGAACATCTGACCTGCAAACTACAAACACAACATCACAGACTTTACTGAGACCCTCAGTTTTCAGCTACAATAACACAAACAAACTCGCAGCGTTCAGTCGAGTCACTGTTCACACTGACCCGACCCTGAAGAACAGAATTACTGTTTTTTAATAGCAACACAGCATTGATCTCACACCCTCCTCCATCACCACACTCGAAGATCTGTTCTGGAGAAACAGTTCACTAAGCTGGAACCTCAACAACCTCAGATACACCCGAGTCCACCGATCACTGAGAGGTCCCCAAACACAGAAGCACAGCAGAAGATCCAGAACCTCGGGTTTTCACTGAACAGAGAAAAGTGAGGAAGAACTTCTGTCTATACATTCATTAATCAACCTGCAGACACCATCAGCCATAACTTCACTATGAACAGGAAACATCACAAACTTCTTTGCTGTCACTGAACCACAAAACTGAGCAGAGGAGCAGTTCAGAGACGGGAGGCGAGGCGTCCATGAAGCTTCAGAGACGTCACTTTTCAGAACAAGGCTGAGCTTCTCAGGAGGAAAGAGGACGTTTCAGAGTAAAAGCTGCTAAGGGCCACGAGGAACTGGGGTGAATTCAGGTAAGTTTCTAAGAGGAACTCAGTAAACAAGCAGGTGGAGAAGAATCTTTCCATTGGGATCAGGTCAGAGATCTGGATTGACTATGCCTTCAGAAGGTCTCCTGTAGTGAGTTTGTGCTGCCTTTGGTCACCAAAGCCGAACACAGCAGCCCTCAGATTTCCGATGGTGACGTCAGCGTCCTGGCATAGAAGCAGCTGATAAGACCATAACTGCGTCCAGAACCTTCCACGTCCCTTCCTCCAGCTCCTCTGGTATTTGGACAGCTGGTAAGATGGCATCACGAAAACGGTTTTCCAGGTTATGGAGGAGAATCAGTCGAAAAAGCAGGAACTCTCAAGGTTTCTGGATGCAGCCCAGATCTCTGCTGGTTCTCCACTTAACCTGGATCCTCGGGACCCTCCGTTTCTCCACACTGAGCAACATCAGTCACATCCAAACAAACCATGTAACACACACTGATAAGCAGAACAGAACATCTGAGAAGCTTCCTGGCCAAAAGCAGATCCTATGTACTTGATGATTCTGGCTCCCGAGTGGCACAACCGTTTAAGCGTTGGTCTTCTCATCAGGAGGCCATGAGTTTGATCCTTGGTGATACTACAGCCGTCTGTGTCCGGGAGTCCAGGAGAACAGAGTTGTCCTCTCTCTCTGGGTGCGGTGGAGCTTCTCAGGAGTCAGAGGAAGCCTGTGTTTGCCTTCACCTTCCTAGCGCTGGTGGTATTGTGTGATTGGGAGAGTCCTGACTACTGGGTGGAACTGGGTACGACTAAAACTGGGGAGAATATTGGAAAAAATAAAAGATGGTCCTTTGTTAAAAATTATATATATACTTAAAATTATATATATATATATATATATATAAAATCATAAACACTCGAAGAACCATCAATCTGATGAACCATTTCATGATGCAAAGAACGCTTTAATCATGCAAAGGGTTCTTTGAGTGTTCATGGTTCTATTTTCTTTCCTAAATAACCCTTGAAGAACCATCTTTTATGTTAGGAGTGTACAAACACAGAGAGCTTTAAATCAGAGTGTTTCATCACCTCCGTCTTGTCCGTGGCCGAAGTGTGGAGGAATGGTCACTTCTCTGCGTTCTCCGACACACATGCCCTGCAGGCCTTTCTCCAAACCCTCGATCACCGTCCCCTGACCCAGAGTGACCTGTGGAAGCTTGGCGTAGTCGTCCCTGTGGAGACCAGCAACGGTTAATGCACAGATAAAACTGCATAACTGTCATTAACACATTAACACTGCTGCTTTATTAATTATGCTCTTATTTTAATCTATAGCAGTTACGATTTTAACCTTCAGAGACCCAAACACTCTGACTCTGTTCATGAAGTTGAACTGTGTTTGTGAAGCTTCTGATCAAATAAACATGTTTTAACAACCCTGAGTTTTAAAGGTTACTGATCTGTTATAGTCTACTAAAGAATTATTGTAATTTACAAACAGCAGCTGCATCGCAGTGATTCCATCTGTGCCCCCCCTCCACAAGACCACCTCAACCCACCCTAACTGTAGCCGATCAGCTGAGACGTGTTTGGCGTCTGAAGTTCACTTCTGTAGTTCGGCTCTGGAGCTACGAGGCTATTATAGCTAAGCAAAGTAATGGAAGTTAGCATGTTGCTAACTGTGTGTTTTCATCATCATCACACTTACAACCATGTGGAGTTAATTCATCTCTAACAGAGCTGATTATGCGGCGTCTGATGCGACTTCAGTCCGTCTTTACAGAGAACAGTGTGTCGTACAGCATCAGTGACCAGGTAATGAAGTGTTTTAGGGTGTAATGAAGTCGACACACAGACTCACAGCTATAAACTTCACACACTGACCACTACCCCCCGGTATCTCTAACTCTCTCTCTCAGCACTACAGATTAACAGGTCAGTAAGTGCAGGGTGTGATGGCCACATGCTGCCTGTAGGGGGCGTACGATGAGTAGAGGTGTGTTCCGTCCAGCAGGGAGCAGTTGTAGCGGTAGGTGATGAGGTCGTTAGTGGTGCAGGTGTCACTGCAGTCCGCCGGAGTGTGAGTGACCCTGATGTCCACCGAGTCGGAGGGGTTGTGGAAGTCGATGATGTGAAGGTCGAAGATCAGCACAGCTGAGCCGGGGATTAAAGAACCTGCAGGAGAACCGGACACAGGGAACACGGAGTGTGTATGTGTGAGTGTGTGTGTTATGTGTGTGAATGAGTGAATGAATGAATGTGTGTGTGTGTGTGTGTGTGTGAGATTGTGTGAGTGTGTGTGTGTGTGAGAGACTGTACCCGTCCCGTTCTCTCCGTACGCCAGGTGAGGGGGGATGGTGACCCGTCTCTTTTCCCCTACACAGACTCCCAGCAGCGCCTTGTCCATCCCAGCGATCACGTGACCCAGACCGATGTAGGTGTTATAGGTGCTGTTCCGCTGGTAGCTGTGTTTACAGAACAGAGCAGAAACAGCAAACACTTACATTCCCGTAATATTCCCAGTGCTGTCACTAATATTCCAGTAATATTCCCAGTGCTGTCACTAATATTCCAGTAATATTCCCAGTGCTGTCACTAATATTCCCATAATATTCCCAGTACTGTCACTAATATTCCCATAATATTCCCAGGGCTGTCACTAATATTCCCATAATATTCCCAGTGCTGTCACTAATATTCCAGTAATATTCCCAATGCTGTCACTAATATTCTAGTAATATTCCCAGTGCTGTTACTAATATTCCAGTAATATTCCCAGTGCTGTCACTAATATTCCAGTAATATTCCCAGTGCTGTCACTAAAATTCCCATAATATTCCCAGTACTGTCACTAATATTCCCGTAATATTCCCAGGGCTGTCACTAATATTCCCATAATATTCTCAGTGCTGTCACTAATATTCCAGTAATATTCCCAGTGCTGTCACTAATATTCCCATAATATTCCCAGTGCTGTCACTAATATTCCAGTAATATTCCCAATGCTGTCACTAATATTCTAGTAATATTCCCAGTGCTGTTACTAATATTCCAGTAATATTCCCAGTGCTGTCACTAATATTCCAGTAATATTCCCAGTGCTGTCACTAAAATTCCCATAATATTCCCAGTACTGTCACTAATATTCCCGTAATATTCCCAGGGCTGTCACTAATATTCCCATAATATTCTCAGTGCTGTCACTAATATTCCAGTAATATTCCCAGTGCTGTCACTAATATTCTAGTAATATTCCCAGTGCTGTCACTAATATTTCAGTAATATTCCCAGTGCTGTCACTGATATTCCAGTAATATTCCCAGTGCTGTCACTACTATTTCAGTAATATTCCCAGTGCTGTCACTAATATTTCAGTAACATTCCCAGTGCTGTCACTACTATTTCAGTAACATTCACAGGGCTGTCACTAAAATTCCAGTAATATTCCCAGTGCTGTCACTACTATTTCAGTAATATTCCCAGTGCTGTCACTGATATTCCAGTAATATTCCCAGTGCTGTCACTACTATTTCAGTAATATTCCCAGTGCTGTCACTAATATTTCAGTAATATTCCCAGTGCTGTCACTAAAATTCCAGTAACATTCCCAGTGCTGTCACCACTATTTCAGTAATATTCCCAGTGCTGTCACTACTATTTCAGTAATATTCCCAGTGCTGTCACTAAAATTCCAGTAATATTCCCAGTGCTGTCACTACTATTTCAGTAATATTCCCAGTGCTGTCACTATTATTTCCATAATATTCCCAGTGCTGTCACTACTATTCCAGTAATATTCCCAGTGCTGTCACTAATATTCCCGTAATATTCCCAGTGCTGTCACTAATATTCCAGTAATATTCCCAGTGCTGTCACTAATATTCCCGTAATATTCCCAGTGCTGTCACTAATATTCCCATAATATTCCCAGTACTGTCACTAATATTCCAGTAATATTCCCAGTGCTGTCACTACTATTTCAGTAATATTCCCAGTGCTGTCACTACTATTTCAGTAATATTCCCAGTGCTGTCACTAAAATTCCAGTAATATTCCCAGTGCTGTCACCACTATTTCAGTAATATTCCCAGTGCTGTCACTACTATTTCAGTAATATTCCCAGTGCTGTCACTAAAATTCCAGTAATATTCCCAGTGCTGTCACTACTATTTCAGTAATATTCCCAGTGCTGTCACTACTATTCCAGTAATATTCCCAGTGCTGTCACTACTATTTCAGTAACATTCCCAGTGCTGTCACTAAAATTCCAGTAATATTCCCAGTGCTGTCACTACTATTTCAGTAATATTCCCAGTGCTGTCACTAATATTCCAGTAATATTCCCAGTGCTGTCACTAATATTTCAGTAACATTCCCAGTGCTGTCACTAATATTTCAGTAACATTCCCAGTGCTGTCACTAATATTCCAGTAATATTCCCAGTGCTGTCACTAATATTCCAGTAATATTCCCAGTGCTGTCACTAATATTTCCAGTAATATTCCCAGTGCTGTCACTAATATTCCAGTAATATTCCCAGTGCTGTCACTAATATTTCCAGTGCTGTCACTACTTTCAGTAATATTCCCAGTGCTGTCACTAATATTCCAGGAATATTCCCAGTGCTGTCACTACTATTTCAGTAATACTCCCAGGGCTGTCACTACTATTTCAGTAACATTCCCAGGGCTGTCACTACTATTTCAGTAATATTCCCAGTGCTGTCACTAATATTCCAGTAATATTCCCAGTGCTGTCATTAATATTCCAGTAATATTCCCAGTGCTGTCACTAAAATTCCAGGAATATTCCCAGTGCTGTCACTACTATTTCAGTAATATTCTCAGTGCTGTCACTACTATTTCAGTAATATTCCCAGTGCTGTCACTACTATTTCAGGAATATTTCCAGTGCTGTCACTAATATTCCAGGAATATTCCCAGTGCTGTCACTACTATTTCAGTAATATTCCCATTGCTGTCACTAATATTTCAGTAATATTCCCAGTGCTGTCACTAATATTCCAGTAATATTCCCAGCGCTGTCATTACTATTTCAGTAATATTCCCAGTGCTGTCACTACTATTTCAGTAATATTCCCAGTGCTGTCACTAATATTCCAGTAATATTCCCAGTGCTGTCACTACTATTTCAGTAATATTCCCAGTGCTGTCACTACTATTTCAGTAACATTCCCAGTGCTGTCACTAAAATTCCAGTAATATTCCCAGTGCTGTCACTAATATTCCAGTAATATTCCCAGTGCTGTCACTACTATTTCAGTAATATTCACAGTGCTGTCACTAACATTTCAGTAATATTCCCAGTGCTGTCACTACTATTTCAGTAACATTCCCAGTGCTGTCACTACTATTTCAGTAATATTCCCAGTGCTGTCACTAATATTCCAGTAATATTCCCAGTGCTGTCACTAATATTTCAGTAATATTCCCAGTGCTGTCACTAACATTTCAGTAATATTCCCAGTGCTGTCACTAATATTCCAATAATATTTTGAGTGTCATGAATATTCCAAGTTGTTACTAATATTCTTAATGCAGTCATATTCCTAAAGCTGTCACTTATATACCAGCAATATTCCCAGTTCTGCCATTAATATTGTAATAATATCATTAATATTTGAAATGCTTTCACTAACATTCCATATTCCCATTATAGTGATTATATATGCTGGTGTGCATATATTTTTTAATAACTTGGCGCTGTAATACAGAATTCAGTTGATTTGTGAACTGGCAGTTGAGAACGTGGCTTGGCCAATCAGATTTTAGAACCAGAAATATCAGTATTTCTTTAAATATACGGACATTTCTGATAGATGTGCTGCTATAACTCCATCTCTTCTCATCACCACTGCCTGTCTCTCTCTCTGATTGGCTGACCTGGAGTCGAACGGCGTTCCGTCCTGGAAGGTTCCGTTATAGTGGTAGCGGATGAAATCTCCGGCCTGCGCTTTTCTCCTGCAGGGCTGCGGGACGTCCTGCACCTCCACCTGCACGTCGTCCTTCACGTTAAACACGTCCACCAGCAGCACGTCGAAAATCACCGTCGCGAATGCCGGAACCTTCGAGCCTGGACACAAAAAGACACTGCGTAACCTCTGACCCCGACAGAGAGCCTGAGAGGAATGCTGGGTAAACGGGATATGGCTTTAACAGCAGTAGCACAGAGTGTTTACCGTATCCTTTCTCTCCGTAGGCCAGGAATGGTGGGATGATGACGGAGCGTCTCTCTCCGATACACGTTCCCAGCAGCCCCTCGTCCATCCCCTTAATCAGCTCCCCCTGACCCACATACGTGTTGTACGTAACGTTCCTCCAGTAACTGAGACAGAACCACAGATAAACACAGACGCAGCACAGGACGGAGCGGGACCGTGTGTGTGTGTGTGTTAATGTGTGTGTGTACCTGGAGTTGAACACAGTTCCGTTCAGCAGGGTTCCGTTTTGTTTGTGTTAGTATGTGTGTTAGTGTATGTGCTAGTGTATTAGTGTGTGTTAGTGTGTGTGTGTGTTAGTGTATTAGTGTGTGTGTTAGTGTGTGTGTGTGTGTGTTAGTGTATTAGTGTGTGTGTGTGTGTGTTAGTGTATTAGTGTGTGTGTTAGTGTGTGTGTGTTAGTGTATTAGTGTGTGTGTTAGTGTGTGTGTGTTAGTGTATTAGTGTGTGTGTTAGTGTGTGTGTTAGTGTATTAGTGTGTGTGTTTGTGTATGTGTGTGTCCCTGGAGTCGAACTCGGTTCCATTCAGCAGGGTTCCGTTGTGTTTGTGTTAGTGTGTGTGTTAGTGTATTTGTGATGTGTTTGTGTGTGTGTTCATGTATTAGTGTGTGTGTGTGTACCTGGAGTTGGTTCCATTCAGCAGGGATCCGTTGTGTGTGTGTTAGTGTATTTGTGTGCGTGTTCGTGTGTGTGTTAGTGTATTTGTGTGTGTGTTCGTGTGTGTGTTAGTGTATTTGTGTGTGTGTTCGTGTGTGTGTTAGTGTATTAGTGTGTGTGTACCTGGAGTTGGCTCTGTTCAGCAGAGATCTGTTGTGTGCGTGTGTTAGTGTATTAGTGTGTGTGTTTGTGTATTAGTGTGTGTGTTAGTGTATTAGTGTGTGTGTTAGTGTATTAGTGTGTGTGTTTGTGTGTGTTAGTGTATTAGTGTGTGTGTTTGTGTATTAGTGTGTGTGTTAGTGTGTGTGTTAGTGTATTAGTGTGTGTGTTAGTGTGTGTGTTTGTGTGTGTGTTAGTGTATTAGTGTGTGTGTTAGTGTATTAGTGTGTGTGTTAGTGTATTAGTGTTTGTGTACCTGGAGTTGGCTCTGTTCAGCAGAGATCTGTTGTGTGTGTGTGTTAGCGTATTAGTGTGTGTGTTAGTGTGTGTGTTAGTGTATTAGTGTGTGTGTTAGTGTGTGTGTTAGTGTATTAGTGTGTGTGTTTGTATATGTGTGTGTACCTGGAGTCGAACACGGTTCCGTTCAGCAGGGTTCCGTTGTAGTGGTATCTGACGAAGTCGCTGCGCTGGACTGAGCGTCTGCAGCTCTGCGGCCTGAACAGCGTCCGGATCTCAGCTTTATCAGCTTTATTCCAAACATCCAACAGGACGACATCAAACACCAGCGTCGTATCAGGAGGAATGACGGACCCTGAGAGAGAGAGAAAGAGAGAGAAAGAGAGAGAGACAGAGAGAGAGAGAAAATATAAAGAGAGATAGTAGAAAAAGAGAGAAAGAAGGTAAAAGAAATTACAACTAGATTCAGATCTTTGCTCGTAACCGTTTCTCCTAAGTTCTCTCTGGAAGTTTCTGATCCACCTGCTCTTCAGCGTTTTCTCTGCCCCCCCCACCATCTTCGTCTCTTACCTCAGAGGACTTTGTCTCCTGCTTTGAGGAGAAGATTAATATAATCTGCCAGTCTGTGTCCTCGGCCCCCCCTGCAGTCCTCATCCGGCTCTTAGTCCTCTAACCTGTTTTTCTTCTCTGCATCCCATCCACACTGACCCTGCAGTCTATAATTCAGTGATCTCTCTTTCTCACTCAGAACCAGCTGCAGGACCTCAAACAGTCCGGCTTCAACCCAGCACACTCAACAGAAACTGCCCTCACAGTTCGGCTGGTCTCACTGCCCGAAACTCCTCAGTCACTGCCTTCATCGGCTCTGATTCTCCTTTATTTCTCTGCAACCGTAAACACTACAAGATCCTCCTGTCCATCCTTGGATTCGCTTGCTCTGCATGGAAGTGGTTCAAGTCGTATCTGGAAAAGTGCTGTTATTAGGTAACATCTGCTCCACAAAGGCTCCATTGGTGTTCCACAAGGCTCACTGCTGGGTCCTCTTCTCTTTCCTCTTCACACTCGTTCTCTTGGTGATGTAATGTCCTATAATTGCTCTGCTGATGACTCTCAGGTTTATAGTCACATTTTGGGATGTCTGGCTGACCTCATGGATCTCATTAAGCTTAATCCTAGCAAGACTGCTGTTCATCCCTGGAACTACAGGTCCTCACCATGATGGTCACTCTGTATGAACATGCATGAAGCCTTCGTGCAATTCTGGATGACCAGTTATTGTCCTCAGCTCACACTGCGAACCTGACTTGGTCATGCAGGTTTCATCCAGAGGACTTGACCCTTTCTCTCTCGGAAGGACACTCAGGTTCTCATACAGACTCTGGTCATCTCAAGGCTTGACCACTCAGCTGGATCCTGGTTGGTCTTCCTCTGAGAACCGTCAGGCCCTTCAGCTGATCCAGAACGCAGCAGCTCGGCTCGTCTTCAGTCTTCCTCAGTTCACTCAGGATACTGCACTGCCGGTCCCCTTACTGTTTTCCTGAAGCTGCATCAGATGCCTACAAACCCAAAAATGGACCAGCCCCTCTCCGCCGATGGCACCGGTCAGAACTCAATCCATACGTTGAGTACAGCTCAGCGGAACTCTTCAGGACATGGCATGAGGACAAGCATCAAGACTCGTCTCTGTCTGGAGCTCAGGTGGAGGAACGAACTTCCACTGGAACAGCAGAGTGAGTCCCTCACAGTCTCAAAACACAGACTGAAGATCATCTCTTTAAATCAACACTGTCTGAAATGTCTTGTATGTCACTTATGCTGTCATTTTACAACGTGTTCTCTGGCAAAGTCTGAGCTGAAGGTTTGTTGGGACTCTATCTACTGGTACTAGCCAGGACACGTTCTCCAAGGTGACAACAACTGGTATGTAAAGCTGCTGTGCTGATTGGTGTGTTAAGTTGACAGTTTGTAAGCATCAAATTCTAATTCATTTTTTATATAATTCCTTTTTACAACGGCTGTTGTAACAAAGTGGCTTTAAAGAAATCCGGTCTGAGCCCCAAATGAGCATCGCCACGTAAATCTCAGAGTGACCGGAAGAACCACTGAGAGGAATCATGACTCAAAAGAGGAACCCATCCTCCTCTGGTCCACACAGGATAACAAACAATAAGAGTTACAAGAACTATGAATAAATAAACAGAGAGAACCTGATGATTACAAAGAATTCAGATTAAACCTGAAAACCTGATTCATAATGTTAGAGATCATCAGATCTCAATAAAGCCAAGATCAGCAGATAAAGAGCAGAGTGTAATGTGTAAACACCAGAGTGTAAAGATTGGGCTGTAAAGACCAGAATGTAAACATCAGTGTAAAGACCAGAGTGTAAAGATTGGATTGTAAAGACAAGAGTGTAAAGACCAGAGTGTAAAGATCAGAGTGTAAAGGTCAGAGTGTAAAGATTGGATTGTAAAGACAAGAGTGTAAAGACCAGAGTGTAAACATCAGATTGTAAAGATCGGAGTGTGAAGACTGGAGTGTAAACATCAGCGTAAAGATCAGAGTGTAAAGATTGGGGTGTAAAGACCAGAGTGTAAAGTTGTGGTGTGTGGAGTTACCTGCTCCGGTGACGCCGTACCCCAGGTGGGGGGGGATGGTGATTTTTCTCCGCTCGTTCACACACATTCCCTGAACTCCTCTATCCAGACCCGGAATTACTTTACTCTCAGAACCAACTGGACCCATAAACGGAGCACCTTTATCTAAACTACAGAGAGAGAGAGAGAGAGAGAGAGAGACAGAGAGAGAGACAGAGAGAGAGATTAGAATGACCGAGTCACTAAGTGACTGGGTTAGTGAGTGACTGGGTTACTGAATATCTAAATGCAGGGTTCATACACCTTTTCCAAACTCAAATTCAAGCACTTTCAAGGTCCGTTTTCAAGCTTTTCCAGCACCTTACATCTGTAGTAAATTAGATATTTATACAAACTCAAAATAATTAATTCACTTTTTATCGCATTAAAAGAGATGTTATTATGCTATAAACAACCAGAATTGTGTTTGGTAATAGCAGACGGATAAGAAATTAAAGGAAAACACATTTTATGTTTCAAAATGTGTCGCTGTTTGTCTGTAGACTTTCCTTGCTATCTAAACTTGCTAAATCAGGAAAAAACAATTACCCAAAAAATCACTTGACAAATAACTTCACTTCCAATAAATTCTTTACTGAAATTTCAAAAATAACAACATTCACCTTTGAGGAAGGTAGTCAATCAGCTCTATAACCTTTTTTTCACTGTATTACTGAATGACTGGGCTACTGAGTAACTGAATGACCGGGTTACTGAATGACTAAATGACTGGGTTAGTGAATGACTGGGTTACTGAATGACTTAATGACTGGGTTAGTGAATGACTGGGTTACTGAATGACTGGGTTAGTAAATGACTGGGATACTGAATGACTGAATGAGTGAGTTACTGAATGACCGAACGACTGGGTTACTGAACAACTGAATGGCTGGGTTGCTGAATGACTGGGTTACTGAATGAGTGAATGACTGGGTTATTAAACAACTGAATGAGTGAGTTACTGAATGACTGAATGGCTGGGTTACTGAATGACTGAATGAGTGAGTTACTGAATGACTGAATGGCTGGGTTACTGGATGACTGGGTTACTCAATGACTGAATGACTGAGTTACTGAATGACTGAATGACTGAGTTACTGAATGACTGGATGATTGGGTTACTGAGTAACCGAATAACTGGGTTACTGAATGACAATGACTGGGTTACTGGGTAAAGGAATAAATGGGTTACTAAATGACTGAATGACTGGGTTACTGAGTAACTGAATAACTGGGTTACTGAATGGCTGAATAACTGAGTTATTGAATGACTGAATAACTGAGTTATTGAATGACTGAATAACTGAGTTACTGAATAACTGAATGACTGGGTTAGTGAATGACTGAATGACTGGGTTACTGAGTGACTGAATGAGTGAATGACTATGTTACTGAATAACTGAATGACTGGGTTACTGAATAACTGAATGACTGGGTTACTGAATGAGTGAATGACTGGGTTAGTGAATGACTGAATGACTGGGTTACTGAATAACTGAATGACTATGTTACTGAATAACTGAATGACTGGGTTACTGAATAACTGAATGACTGGGTTACTGAATAACTGAATGACTGGGTTACTGAATAACTGAATGACTATGTTACTGAATAACTGAATGACTATGTTACTGAATAACTGAATGACTGGGTTACTGAATGAGTGAATGACTGGGTTACTGAATAACTGAATGACTGGGTTACTGAATAACTGAATGACTGGGTTACTGAATGAGTGAATGACTGGGTTACTGAATAACTGAATGACTATGTTACTGAATAACTGAATGACTGGGTTACTGAATAACTGAATGACTGGGTTACTGAATGACTGGGTTACTGAATAACTGAATGACTGGGTTACTGAATAACTGAATGACTGGGTTACTGAATGACTGAATGAGTCACTGAATGATCAGGTAACTGCTTTAATTAATAACAGGCATCACTGAGGACCTTTAATGAAGCTCAGCTCTTATTATAGAACATATAGAAACGTCACTGTGATTTTCTGTATCTGAGTGTTTCAGTGTTTCAGTGTAAAACTGCATTTAAAGCTTCATAATAAACTCAGAGTAATTATGATCATAAACTATATCATAAACATGTTTACAGACCTGAATCGCCTCATACACTGAACCAGCCACACTGAGCAGGTGTGAGTGACCCGTCTGACCTGTCCAGGTAAACCTGCACACTCACCTGGAGTCGAACTTGGTTCCGTTGGTGAAGGTTCCTGTGTAGTGGTACCGGACATAGTCCCCCTGCTGGACCTCGCGCGCACACAGCGTGGGTAACGAGTACCTGTCAATCTTCACATCCTCCACAGGCCCCGCCCAACACCGCACACACAGCAACACACACAGAAACACACTCCTCACATCCATTTCTCTCTCTCTCTCTCACTCACTCACTCACACACACACACACACACACACACACACACACACACCTCCCTCTTTTCCTTCTTTCTCTTCTGCCTTCTCTTCCTCCTCCTCTCTAACCCTCTGACCTGAGAGTTAAAGACCCAAACTGCAGCCCTGCAGCACGCGCTGAGATCATCTCAAAAGTGACGTGTTTCCGGGAGAAGAGCCCGCCCCTTTCTGTCCACGTGTGCACAAAGAGGGAGAGAGAGAGAGAGAGAGAAACTATTAAAACGGGCTGAAGTTGGAATTCTCCGTTCCACCTTAAATCCTGCAGCAGAGCCTCAGGCGCCACAATGTAACTGCTGCACCATTTAAGGTGGAACGGAGAATTCCAGCTGAAAGCCACCTTCAGCTCCGTGTTCAGCGCTACTGTGACTCTTTCAGTTATCGATTAGTCTGACAGACACACCACATTATCGATACATAAAGACTAAACTACACGCGCTCCACGTCACTGCAGCCCCTCATGTCTCTGCGCGCCTCTTTTGTTGTAACTTTCCGATGGTTTGATGTTTGCGCGTGCTGCGTCCTGTAACTCCAGCTAAAGCGTCTATAAACTCTGAAAAGTGAAGTTCGGTCCGTTTTTCTAATAAAGAGTAAAGCACTGACCTCGTAAACGCGGCTCTCCTTCTTCGTGGAGGTTGCTGTAGTCGTGCGCGGTGGTCTCCAGCAGAGCGCGCCCCTGCGCTGCCTCCTTTAAAGTTGTAAAAGTTGATATTAGCAGACTTTTTCCACTCCTCCTCCCTCTCCTCCTCCTCCGGATGGGCTTCTCTACGTGCGCGGAGGCATGAAGCTCAATCCGGACCTTCCTGTGGAGGTGTAGAGGCTGAGGTGAACATGGCTGGAGTTCCGTGGTGGTCTCGGTGGTCCTGTTGGGCGGCAGCGGTGCTCCTGCTGCTCCTCGTCCGGGCCCGGGCTCAGTATGAAGGCTACAGCTTCAGCAGCTTCCCGGAGAGCGACCTGATGCCGCTGGACACCGCGTACGGCTCCGCGCTGGAGTTCTTCGGCTCCGCGCGGTGGAAGGAGACCGTGCGGCTGCTGGAGCTCAGTTTGAGGATCCACCGCCTGCTTAGGGAGAGCGAGGCCGTCTGCGCCCGCAACTGCAGCCTGGAGGCCCGCGGGGAGGAGAGCCTGGAGAGCCGGGAGCCCGGGCTGAGAGTGATGGAGAGCTTCCTGCGGAGAGCGGCGTGTCTGAAGCGCTGCAAAGCCGCCTTGCCTGTGTTCTCCAAAGCCTTCCCCAGACAGGACACGCTGCTGGCGTTCCAGAGGAGAGAACCTTACCGGTACCTGCAGTACGCCTACTACCAGGTCAGTAGTGTTAGAGCGCGCGGTGAGGACGCTGGGGTTCAGCACGATCAGCTTCGCGTTTGTGGTCAGCTCTCTCCATTCATTCAACGAGGCGTACGGATTTTCCGTTCCACCTTAAATGGTGCAGCTGTTGATCGATCTGTTAGACTAATCGATAAGCAGCTGAAAGAGTCACAGCAGCATTGAACGCGAAGCTCAGGCTGGCTCCTTGCTGGAATTCTCCGTTCCACCTTAAATGGTGCAGTAGTCACTTTGTGGCGCCGTAACAGCTGCACCATTTAAGGTGGAACGGAGAGTTTGTGAGAAAGCTGAGCTCCCCGTTTACAGCTCTAGTAACTCCTCAGTGTTTTTGTCTAAACTCAGCAGAAATGAGTGTCTAATGATTTTCTACTTTATTTACTGTAGGTGTGTGTGGGGATTGTGTGTGTGTGTGTGTGGGGATTGTGTGTGTGTGTGGGGATTGTGTGTGTGTGTGTGTGTGTGTGTGGGGATTGTGTGTGTGTGTGGGGGGGGGGTCATTGTGCAGCGGCGCGCTCAGCAGATTAAATATTAATATGAAGTTATTGAAGATGTGATTATGTCTGATCTTCATTAGCCAATCTGAGTGTCGCAGTTTGATCACGGAATCTCTGATTATTCCGCGCTCAGATGACAGTAAACGGAGTTGGGGCGCCATCTGCCGGCGCGCGGGGGAAAAGCGCCTTGCCACGTAAACGCAGCCTGCGGCCTTCACGGCCAATAAACCCCCCCCAACCCCACCGCACACACTCTAACACACACCCAAACACCCTGTAATACACTCTCTCGCACACAAACACCCTGCAATACACTCTGTCACACACAAACACCCTGTAATACACTCATACACACTCGCACACACACTAACACTATTTAATACTCTCTAACACACACAAAACACCCTGCAATACTACTATAATACTACACTACTACACACACCAAACACCCTGTAATACACTCCTACACCTTCTAACACACACAAACACTGTTGAACAAACTCTTGCACTCTGTAATTCGGGGGTTCACAAACTTTTTCATGCCAGGACCCACCTGAGCAGGTTTATCTCGAGTTTGCTGAAATATTTTTGAAATATTCTTATTTGTTCTGGATTGTGATGTAATCAATTTGGCTGTTACCTTCAGTCTGAATACTGATACATTATTATTATATTATATTATATTATTTAGTTGGATATTGGTTCTGATGTGTGTTGTCATACAGTAACCCCCACATACCTAACAAACTCTCCCCATACCTAACACACTGCACCCCTCCTCCCACTGGAGCCCAAACAATCACCTCATTCTTCTGCAGACGGGCAGGAAGTCTCACAACCAAAGCAGGATCTCACTGTGCTGCCAACAGTCTGAACACCCCCCTTTACTAAGACACTCTGTATTATTATATGTGATATTTATAATAAAGCAGTAATAACAGTAATAAAACAGGCCCTCGGTTCTTCACACACTATCAGAATCATGCTGCGGTCATTATTTCATCTTTCACCTCTTCACTCAGTTTTTCCTCCATTCAGTGTTTTAGGAGGTGCTTATTTCTGTAGTTTGGTTCTCTTGGTTATAAAATAAACCAGTGTATGAATTAGTTCTGGTTCTCTTAGTGTTCTCACTTTCACATCTAAACTACTGATGGAAACAAATGTCATAAAAACAAAAGTACGCTGGAACTGGTTTCCTGTGAGTTTGTTTTATCATTTTGTAGATCAGAGAGTTCAGTCCTGATTCTGGAGCTCTGCAGAGTTTAACCCCTAATCTGATACACCTGATCCAGGAAGTGAAGCCTTCTGGAGTGTCTGATATCAGAGGCAGGTGTGCTGGATCTGAACTAACCAGGGTGGAAGATCTCCAGGACCAGGACTGAGCACCTCTGATCCACAGCAGAGTTACTGCAGCCTCTCGTGAAGTAAAATCACTGTAACGTCCGGCCTCGACTGGATCACTGCCTTTATAAAACAGAGACGTTTTAAACACTTAAAACTAAAACTGTCCGATCTGTAACTCGGAGCTCATGAAGGAGGGATTAGACGCCTGAGCATCGTCTTTCTGCTTGGAGGGGACGCGTCACTCTGTATCTGCTCTTTTTAGGCTGTTTTGCATTCATGTTAAAACAAACTGAACCGAGTTCATTTTAAAGGGGTTCCAGTTATTTGGTGCTCCAAGGTTTCAGTGGCAGTGTTCTCTCGTGTTCTAGGGAGCTGCACTAACAGAGCAATCACACCACATAGCCACTTTAATAGAACCAAACCTGCTGGGTGTGAACAGGATCACATGACTGATTGCAGTGTGACATCCTGTGTGTGTGTGTGTGTGTGTGTGTGTGTGTGTGTGTGTGTGTGTGTGTGTGTGTAGGTGAATAACCTGGAGAAGGCCGCATCAGCAGCACACACGTACCTACAGCGGAACCCGGGAGACCCACAGCTCTCCAAAAACCTCAACTACTATAAGAGCCTGTTTGATATTGAGGAGTTCCTGATAGACCAGGAGGAGAAACCATACGAGGTACAGACACTTACACACACACATTCACACACACACTTATACACAAACACTTACACACACACACTTACACACACACACTTATACACAAACACTTACACACACACATTCACACACACACTTACACACACACATTCACACACACACTTACACACAAACACATTCACATACACACTTACACACTGACACAGTCACTCACACACACACATTCACACACACATTCACACACACACTTACACACACACACTTACACACACACACTTACACACACACATTCACACACACACTTACACACAAACACATTCACATACACACTTACACACTGACACAGTCACTCACACACACACATTCACACACACATTCACACACACACTTACACACACACACTTACACACACACACTTACACACACACATTCACACACACACTTACACACACACACTTAGACACACACATTCACACACACACACACACAAACACATTCACATACACACTTACACACTGACACAGTCACTCACACACACACATTCACACACACATTCACACACACACTTACACACACACACTTACACACACACATTCACACACACACTTACACACACACACATTCACACACACACGTACACACACACACATTCACACACACATTCACACACACACACACTGACTCAGTCACTCACACACACACACTGACACACACACTTACACACACACATTCACACACACACTTACACACACACACATACACACACACACACTGACTCAGTCACTCACACACACACACATTCACATACACACACACACACATTCACACACACACTTACACACAAACACATTCACATACACACTTACACACTGACACAGTCACTCACACACACACACACACATTCACACACACATTCACACACACACACACACTGACTCGGTCACTCACACACACACACTGACTCAGTCACTCACACACACACACACACTGACACACACACTTACACACACACACATTCACATACACACACACAGAGTGACTCAGTCACTCACACACACACACACACACATTCACACACACACTTACACACACACACACATTCACACACACACTTAAACACACACACACACTGACTCAGTCATTCACACACACACACACACACACTGACTCAGTCACTCACACACACACACACACACACTGACACACACACACACATTCACACACACATTAACATACACACACACACACACTGACACACACACACACATTCACACACACACTTACACACACACACATTCACACACACACACTGACTCACTCACACACACACACTGACACACACACACACTTACACACACACACTTACACACACACACATTCACACACACACACACACTGACTCAGTCACTTACACACACACATTCACACACACACTTACACACACACATTCACACACACACTTACACACACACATTCACACACACACTGACACACACACACACTCTCTCACACACACACATTCACACACACACTTACACACACACATTCACACACACACTTACACACACACATTCACACACACACTGACACACACACACACTTACACACACACATTCACACACACACTTACACACACACACATTCACACACACTTACACACACACATTCACACACACACTTACACACACACACATTCACACACATTCACACACACACTGACTCAGTCACTCACACACACACACACACACATTCACACACACTTACACACACACATTCACACACACACTTACACACACACATATTCACACACACACATTCACACACACACACACTGACTCAGTCACTCACACACACACACACACATTCACACACACACACACTGACTCAGTCACTCACACACACACACACAGACACACACACACACACACTGACTCAGTCACTCACACACACACACACACTGACACACATACACACACACACACACACACACACACACACACACTCACACACACACACATTCACACACACACTTACACACACACACATACACACACACACATACACACACACACACACACACACACTGACTCAGTCACTCACACACACACACACTGACACACACTTACACACACACAAACACACACACACTTACACACACACACACACATTCACACACACTGACACACACTTACACACACATTCACATACACACTTACACACACATTCACACACACACATTCACATACACACTTACACACACCCACACACACATTCACACACACACATTCACACACACACACACACTGTCTCTTTCTGTTCTGTCTATAGTATGTGTGTAAAGCTGTCTCTCTGTTCTGTCTGTTGTTTCTGTGTGTAAAGCTCACTCACTCACTCACACACACACTCTCAATCACACGCACTGTCTCTGTCTGTTCTGTCTGTAGCCTCTGTGTGTAAAGCTCTCTCTCTGTCTGTAGTCTCTGGGTGTAAAGCTGTCTCTCTGTTTGTTCTGTCTGTAGTCTCTGTGTGTAAAGCTGTCTCTCTGTCTGCAGTCTCTGGGTGTAAAGCTGTCTCTCTGTTTGTTCTGTCTGTAGTCTCTGTGTGTAAAGCTGTCTCTCTGTCTGCAGTCTCTGGGTGTAAAGCTGTCTCTTTCTGTTCTGTCTGTAGTTTCTGGGTGCAAAGCTGTTTCTCTGTCTGTTCTGTCGGTAGTTTCTGGGTGTAAAGCTGTTTCTCTGTCTGTTCTGTCGGTAGTCTCTGTGTAAAACTCACTCACTCACTCTCACTCACACGCACTGTCTCTGTCTGTTCTGTATGTAGCCTCTGTGTGTAAAGCTGTCTCTCTGTCTGTTCTGTCGGTAGTCTGTGTGTAAAGCTGTCTCTCTCTGTTCTGTCTGTAGTCTTTGTGTGTAAAGCTGTCTCTCTGTTTGTTCTGTCTGTAGTATGTGTGTGTAAAGCTGTCTCTCTGTTCTGTCGGTAGTCTGTGTGTAAAGCTGTCTCTCTGTCTGTTCTCTCTGTAGTCTGTGTAAAGCTGACTGTCTGTTCTGTCTAATCTCTGTGTAAAGATGACTCTGTCTGTTCTGTCTGTAATCTCCGTGTAAAGCTGTCTCTCTGTCTGTTCTCTCTGTAGTCTGGGTAAAGCTGACTGTCTGTTCTGTCTAATCTCTGTGTAAAGATGACTCTGTCTGTTCTGTCTGTAATCTCTGTGTAAAGCTGTCTCTCTGTCTGTTCTCTCTGTAGTCTGTGTGTGTAAAGCTGTCTCTCTGTCTGTTCTGTCTGTAATCTCTGTGTAAAGCTGTCTCTCTGTCTGTTCTCTCTGTAGTCTGTGTAAAGCTGACTGTCTGTTCTGTCTAATCTCTGTGTAAAGATGACTCTGTCTGTTCTGTCTGTAATCTCTGTGTAAAGATGACTCTGTCTGTTCTGTCTGTAATCTCTGTGTAAAGATGACTCTGTCTGTTCTGTCTGTAATCTCTGTGTAAAGCTGTCTCTCTGTCTGTTCTGTCTGTAATCTCCGTGTAAAGCTGTCTCTCTGTCTGTTCTCTCTGTAGTCTGTGTAAAGCTGACTGTCTGTTCTGTCTGTAATCTCTGTGTAAAGCTGTCTCTCTGTCTGTTCTGTCTGTAGTCTCTGTGTGTAAAGCTGTCTCTTTCTGTTCTGTCTGTAGTTTCTGGGTGCAAAGCTGTTTCTCTGTCTGTTCTGTCTGTAGTTTCTGGGTGTAAAGCTGTTTCTCTGTCTGTTCTGTCGGTAGTCTCTATGTGTAAAACTCACTCACTCACTCACTCACTCACACACACTGTCTCTCTCTGTTCTGTATGTAGCCTCTGTGAGTAAAGCTGTCTCTCTGTCTGTTCTGTCGGTAGTATGTATGTGTAAAGCTGTCTCTCTGTTCTGTCGGTAGTCTGTGTGTAAAGCTGTCTCTCTGTCTGTTCTCTCTGTAGTCTGTGTAAAGCTGATTGTCTGTTCTGTCTAATCTCTGTGTAAAGATGACTCTGTCTGTTCTGTCTGTAATCTCTGTGAAAAGCTGTCTCTCTGTCTGTTCTGTCTGTAGTCTGTGTGTGAAAAGCTGTCTCTCTGTCTGTTCTGTCTGTAATCTCCGTATAAAGCTGTCTCTCTGTCTGTTCTGTCTGTAATCTCTGTGTAAAGCTGTCTCTCTGTCTGTTCTGTCTGTAGTCTGTGTGTAAAGCTGTTTCTCTGTCTGTTCTGTCTGTAATTTCTGTGTAAAGCTGTCTCATTGTCTGTTCTGTCTGTAGCCTCTGTGTGTAAAGCTGTCTCTCTGTCTGTTCTGTCTGTGTTTGTAAAGCTGTCTCTCTGTCTGTTCTGTCTGTAATCTGTGTAAAGCTGTTTCTCTGTCTGTTGTCTGTAGCCTCTGTGTGTAAAGCTGTCTCTCTGTCTGTTCTGTCTATAATCTCTGTGTAAAGCTGTCTCTCTGTCTGTTCTGTCTGTAGCCTCTGTGTAAAGCTGTCTCTTTGTCTGTTCTGTCTGTAATCTCTGTGTAAAGATGTCTCTCTGTCTGTTCTGTCTGTAGCCTCTGTGAGTAAAGCTGTCTCTCTGTCTGTTCTGTCTGTAATCTCTGTGTAAAGCTGTCTCTCTGTCTGTTCTGTCTGTAGTATGTGTGTGTAAAGCTGTCTCTCTGTCTGTTCTGTCTGTAATCTCTGTGTAAAGCTGTCTCTGTCTGTTCTGTCTGTAATCTCTGTGTAAAGCTGTCTCTCTGTCTGTTCTGTCTGTAATCTCTGTGTAAAGCTGTCTCTCTGTCTGTTCTGTCTGTAGCCTCTGTGTGTAAAGCTGTTTCTCTGTCTGTTCTGTCTGTAATCTCTGTGTAAATCTGTTTCACTGTCTGTTCTGTCTGTAGTCTGTGTGTGTAAAGCTGTCTCTCTGTCTGTTCTGTCTGTAATCTCTGTGTAAAGCTGTCTCTCTGTCTGTTCTCTCTGTAGTCTGTGTAAAGCTGACTGTCTGTTCTGTCTAATCTGTGTAAAGATGACTCTGTCTGTTCTGTCTGTAATCTCTGTGTAAAGATGACTCTGTCTGTTCTGTCTGTAATCTCTGTGTAAAGATGACTCTGTCTGTTCTGTCTGTAATCTCTGTGTAAAGCTGTCTCTCTGTCTGTTCTGTCTGTAATCTCCGTGTAAAGCTGTCTCTCTGTCTGTTCTGTCTGTAGTCTGTGTGTAAAGCTGTTTCTCTGTCTGTTCTGTCTGTAATTTCTGTGTAAAGCTGTCTCATTGTCTGTTCTGTCTGTAGCCTCTGTGTGTAAAGCTGTCTCTCTGTCTGTTCTGTCTGTGTTTGTAAAGCTGTCTCTCTGTCTGT